CAGTGGGGTAATGATACAATAAATTAATTAAAAATAAAGAAAACTTAAATAAAGTTTTTGCATAATAGTTTTTTTCTTGCTTAATTTAGTCTGGAAAGATTGAATCATGTTACAGAGGTACAGCGGTACCGCACACCGGGTACTTTTAATGGCGGGGTAACTTTGAATACTAAGAGCATAGTTTAAGTAAGAGCAGAGTTTCATTCAGAAGCCTTAGTTCAACCCATAATTATTCTGAATAGTAATGAATAAAATGTTTTTGTAGTAGGGATTTCTGTAGTTGGTTTGAGATGATTTTATTGTTTGTGTATATAGCTACACCTCCTCCAATTTGGTTCAGACGGTCTGAACGATAGAGGTTGTAGTTTGGAAGAGAGGGGGAGTTGATTGGTTTTTGAACCATGTCTCGGTGATAAAAATAATGTCAAAGGAGTTGTTTTTTGCAAGTAAGGAGAGTTCGATGAGTTTTATTGGATTGAGGGAGGTTACATTAGTGTAGAAGCACGAAAGATTAGATAATTTAAATAATTTAATGAAAGAGCTAACCTTTTTTCAAAATGTTGAATTAGTAAGATACTGAGAGCAATTGAACGGCCTCAGCTGCTGATTTCTATTTGAGAAATTGATTCCTCTCTCTTTCATTGATGTTGACTGTTTTGGATGTGTCAATGCATTTGATTTTTTTGCTGCGGATGATAAATCAAAAGGCTTTGTCAAGTAAATCTTTTGCCGAAGTTCTGCATTTTCGATAAAATGCTTTTTGCTTAAGTTGTTGAATGTTTCTTGTTCGAGAGGTGACTGTGGCTATTAGTTTTGATATCGTAACATCAAGCTTTAGAGAAGCAGCTGAATGCACCTTGACCTAATATATATATATATATATATATATATATATATATATATATATATATATATATATATATATATATATATATATATATATATATATATATATATATATATATATATATATATATATATATATATATATATATATATATATATATATATATATATATATATATATATATATATATATATATATATATATATATATATATATATATATATATATATATATATATATATATATATATATATATGCATAAAGTGTTGTTACAAGTTGTTTGCCAAGCGGCAAAAAAGTGAAAGCATACTACATAAACAGCAACAGTTTTCAAACAAAATTTTTTAAATTAAATATTTTAGTTATCAAAGACAGTGTACCCGTAGGTGTAGGTGTACCGGTATAAAATTTTGATTGCTCTATTTCTATTGATTTTGAAGGTAAAAAGAAGTTAAGCAAAGGTAAAATTAACAACAAAAGAATATACCAACTTTAACAAACAAAAACTTTAAATAAAAAATTTAAAAGTAATACAAACATAGTGAATCAGAATACGAAGTCGATTGTTTCTCTGCATGTAAAGGTAAAAAAGTGTCAGGTAAAGCTAAAAGTAAAAATACAGAAATGTTGTAGATTGTAGGTGTTGCAAATTGAACATATTCTAAACTTTAATAACTTAAAAATTATTAGATACCAGAATACATATTTAATTGTTTTAAAAAAGTAGATCCAGGTGACAAATTAAAATCAAACAATCTCTTTAATGATTTTGTTGGGACGGATATGAAAACTGGTGGAGGCAAAGGAATGTTGGGTTACTCTAAAATATAATATTTATAACTTTTTTTTTATGTTATTTATGATAAGTTTATTTATAATTTATAATACAATATAAATAAACTAAAAACATAAAAATAATAATACAATTTAATCATACCACCAACATTTCAGCGGAGACTTTCCATTTGTAACACAACCACTTTTAACACATCATTTCAGCGGAGACTTTCCATTTGTAAACCACTTTTACCACTTTTACTTTAATTTCATTAATCTTTGGTATGAAGAAAATTTGAAAAGTTTCAGAAAGAATAGGTTGTTTTATATAAATCATTTTGTAAATCAAGTTTAAATATTCTACATTTAAAAAATCCTTATGGTAATTTCTCATCTACAAAACAAAAGTGATCTTCTTCTAGGTAAAAGCATGAGTTTTTCAGCTTCACTGAAATTTTTAGTTTTTGAGACTTTGTATTAAATAAATATTGTATATTTTGATGTTGTTTTGTTATTGGAACAACAGGACTCTTAAAATTTTTCTCTACTTTCTTTAATGTCTGCATATAATTTTCAAAGAGAAAACAAGATATTTGATTTAGTGAACAATCAAATCTAACAGCATCATCACAAATATGAAATAAAAGTGAACATTATAAACATTTTGTATATATATGTTTCGAATTTTGTATATATATGTTTCGAATTTTGTATATATATGTTTCGAATTTTGTATATATATGTTTCGAATTAGTAACAAAATATTTTATTAGTTCTCCAGCAAATTCAAGATAATGTTTTCTAAATTAATTGTCTTCATTTAAGAGAATTACCATTGCAACATGTAATGTTAGAAAATGATTATATGTTTCTTTGCTAACAACACCCTTTAAAACTAAAGGACCAGTGTATAAAATGAATTGTATGAGTTCTGTTGCTTTCCAACGATCTAACTCTAAAAGAAAACGTGGTTGATGAGCAAATTCAGATGACATCATACCACGTAAGCTTAATATTTATTAGATATTTTTCTTAGTTAAGCATTTGAAAGTCTACAATGTTTAGGACCTGACTTTAAAAAAGTAATTATGCGTTTTACTACAAGACAAACCATGTGCATTTAATCTAAAATAAAATCAGAAACACAAGATATTTAAAGTTGAGCTAAAGGAGTAAGGGATTTCTGATGTGTAGTGTACAAAAAGGTATTAAACTTCTCAAATAATCTTGGGTTTGATATGTTTTTATCAACGAAAATCACTCTATGCTCCTCATATAATCCTTTAACTTGGCATTGTTCTCAAGAGTAATATCCTGTATGACCTTGTAAACATTTAAGAAAAGAACGAGAAGTTGTATCAAAAAATAAATTCTTTAAGTTTAACATTAATTTTTTTACTATTATAGTTTAAACCTTCATTAGATAAAAATAAGAATTCTTTGATAAAGTTGTCGAGAAGATTTGATTTACTATCTCCACAGAAAAGTGCAATTATAAAATTATAGTTCTCTATATGGCCATAGTTGAGGATTAGAAGATTTGAAAAGAGGTAGTCCATCAACATTTACAGTAATAAATAACTCAGTATATTGATAATCATTGTTTGTATTCAAAAAATAATTAAGATCATCAGCAATGGTAAAATATGCATAAGTTCCATCACAATTCCAATCTACTGTAAAAGCTTAGAGGGTTTTAAAAGGGTTTTTCCATCTTTTGGCAACTTTAAATGACCATGCCTTCTGAGAATATTCAAAAGTTCGTTTAAATTACTTTGAGAAATTTTTCTTTTTGAGGACCACTTTGCCAAACCTGATAATGTTTCTGTTTTCAATAATGTTGGCGGATTAAAATATATTCAAAATGCTCATAATTACAATTTGAAGATAAATTGTTTACTTTACTTATTGAAAAATATTAGTAGGAGCTTTACAAGGTATTTGAGATTCATAAGAAGCATTGAGTTCATAAATCTTATTAGTACTAATGTTAATAACTTCATCTTGTGTCGTTATGAAATCCAACATACTTTTATTCAGGCGACGACGCATCATTCGATTTTCAGTTTTTATTTCTATATAAAACTTTTTACAAGAACAATGCTTAAAAAAATTAATGTAAGTCGAAGTTTAGAAAGCGAACGTAATTGCGTTAAAGAAAACTGATAAACTTTATTTAAAAACTTATTTAGCTTTTATAAGACACAAAATATTTTCACTCTGATATGGTCTTTTTGAAGACGTATTTATAGAGGACTATTTGAAATATTACAACAAAAGAAAAAAGTTGACGTACAAAAGACGTCATACGAAAGTTTCGTATGAATATATTTTTGTACGTCAATTTTTTTCTTTAAAAAAGACAGATCTTTTGTGGTTTTGTAACGAAATATTTAACTGTCTTTTTAAAGACGTCTTTAAGACGTAAATAAGAGGATTTAGAAAAAAAGGAGTTAAAAAAACAGATATTAAACGTCTTGAAGACGTCTTTCGAAGACAAGACCATTTGAAGACCTAAGTAAGACGGTCTTAATGACGTCTTTTGTTTGCTTGGACATGTTTTAACCTCCACCTCCCCTTTGTCAGCAATAGTCAAAATATATCTGACACATCCGCGCCCCTCCGCCTTTTTTTTTACGTTATTATTAGGTAGCCCTTTTAAAATCTAATAATCCTGCAAAAATAATTTTTTTGATAAAAAAACTGGGACCAGAAAGTTTTCAGTGCGTAGCGTCTCAGTATTTTATATTCCGGCACTGTTCCTTGATATTGAATAAAACATAATTTTTATGTTTTATTTTTACATTTTTGTACAAACCAGCAGTACTGGTAATGAAGTTGCTCAACTTTATTATCAACAGTACTGGAAAATAAATTTGCCTTAAAAAAATGTGTATTGTATCAATACAAAAAAAAAAGAAGTATTTATTTGAATAATAATAGAATTTTTGACACACAGAGTTGGGTATTTGATATTATACATAATAATTGCTTGTAAAAGTCCACGTTATTTGCCATCTATTTTATTTATCACATATTTAATGAGTAATAGGTAGCAATAATGTGATCCCTATCAAAGAAATTCTTTCAGTTGAAAAAAACAAGTAATGCTTTGCTTTAAAAGTAAAATTTAATTTAGCTTTTTTAAAAGAATCTGTTATCATAAAGTTATAAAAGTTTAAATGCTTTAAGAGTTTAATTATAGAATTAAAAAAAAGGAATATAAAATTTTTCTTCAAAAGTTTGAAGGAAAAAATTGTTGAGTAATAATACTTTTCAAAAATTTTGAAAATAAAAATTGAATTTTAATAACCATATTAGAAAGCCATTAGCTTTAAAAAAAACACAACTATTTGATAAAAAAGCATTAAAATCATTTTTCAAACAACTTTTTTATTTTCGACAAAGAATTAATATACAAATAGTCATCGCTATATCATAATTTATATTCAGTATAATTACGTTTTATACGTTTTATATTTAAGTAGTAAATATAAAAGATAGAAAAATACTTTTGAAATTAATTTATTAATAAATACCAAACAATGGCGATTAATTAAAAATTTGAAAGTTTACGTGACTTTTTATGTGTATCTAACAAATTTTCACTTTTCCGTGATCGATTTGCCACAAATATAGCTTTACTTGCCTCGCCATCGTCTGTGGTTAATTCTCGGTCTTGAATAAACAACTAAAAATTAATAACCTTTTCAAAAGTAAATACCAAAAATACTTTTATAGAAATTTTTCAAAAACTATGTAGTTTACGAATATAAGATATATCATGGCCTACTATATTATACGGCCGTATATGTTACATTTTAGAGGCCGATTCTAAGAGGCCTATTTTTGCACAAAAAAAGACAACAAGTTGAATGATAAAACTATTAATTCTAAACTTGCATATTATGCAAAATAAAAAGCAACTTGCATAATAAGTAGAACTTGCAAATTATATAAATATATATATATATATATATATATATATATATATATATATATATATATATATATATATATGTATATATATATATATATATATATATATATATATATATATATATATATATATATATATATATATATATATATATATATATATACCTATATACCTATATATCTTTATTATGCAAAATAAAAAGCAACTTGCATAATAAGTAGAACTTGCAAATTATATAAATATATATATGTATATATATATATATATATATATATATATATATATATATATATATATATATATATATATATATATATATATATATATATATATATATATTAGGGTGGAGCTTATAAAATAAAAAAAAATAAAATTTGTATTTTTTTATAATATAGAAACACTGCATAAAAAGTTTGGCTAAGAAATAATTGTTTTTAGGGGTAGCTCAAGTGCCTCCAATATTACAAAAATTATACGAGAAACGAGTCTAATCTATATATTTTAAACAACACAACTAACATTTTTAAACACATTAAGTATGAGTTCTAAGCTCAGTTTTTACAGTGTAGGGTATCAGCCTGACAATGTCCAAAGCAAACTCAAGAATTATTGTTTTAAATTCATGGTTTCGGCAGCCCAGACAGAGTTTGTTTCCTGCTATCAGGGTACATTCTGCGATGGTCTTCTACGACTTGCAGCAGGAATTGCAGCTGCGTTTCACCGCGTGTTAAAAATCCACTGTATTCTTGAATGAGGGCCACTCCACGTTCAGCGTGGTCATTTACAACTTTTAAAGACTCGACTGTTTCTGCAGCCAACTTGTAGTCATCTCTGTCTTCCCACAAGTCCGGAACAACTGTTAGAAATCTATATAGCATTTCCATCATTCGGAGCAGATTCATTGACTTTGCTGTGACAAAATCTTCTAAGTTCTTGTTCCCGAATGAATCAAGATCAACAGTGATACGCTTTGAATGATCCTGATCTTGGTCTTCTTCATTTTGCATTGCACTCACCATCAGTCTCTTGGTTGATGAACTGACCCGACTGTCGAAGAAAGCCAAGCTAACAAGTTCCTGTGACAAATACCACAAGTGATTGGAAAACTTGCGTGATGTTGACTTCGAGATCGCTGAATGGATTGATGAATATTCAATCAGTGACTTCAGCAGCAGCAGATCATTATAAGGAGCACCTGATGCTTAAGGTGCAGATATCCAGGCTTTCAGGTAGACACGTACTGTGAATACACACACGTCACGTAATCCTCTCACTTCAGCAGGAGTCAATTTAAATTGAGCCTTAAACATCCAGATCTTGAGACTGTATATGACTTTGGACATCCAGCGGGCATGGTGAATTGCTCCAGGTGACATGAATCGCACACCTCTGGCAGGAGCAGCACCTAGAAAAATAATCACAAGTTCCAAGAATTCTTTATAATCATCCCTCGACTGACTCTGTTCAAGATGCTTGTTGGCATAATCGATAGTGTCTTGCTTTATGTCAGCCACGAGACGTTCGACATCATCAGTTGCAATCCCTGGCTCATAATTAGTCGTGTCTATGAAATTGCTGGAAACGTTTGAATAGTGGAACTTCTGGACAAGATGTTGCTCCCATACACACTTGGAACACTGCACCAATTATCAGCTCCATAATGTGATGCCTACAAGCCAGTGATAAGAGCTCTTTCTCAATTTTCTGTTCTAGGAGGACACAGGCACCAGCAAGCCGACCAGTAATTGAGCTGGTCATGTCAAAACACATTGCACGGATGCTGTCGGCTATGCCCCAGTTTTCAATGGCTCCAAAGACGACAGCAGCCTGTGCCTCGCCTGTTCTAGAAGAAAGCTTGGCAACTGTGAGTAGCTGAGAGACTCCTTTTCCTGAAATCAAAACGGGCTGGCAATCAACTTTCTCTTTTCCAAGTAGATCAGGAATCAGTATGCCGTCCCAGTGAACAACAAGAGGAACGTTATCCTGAAACTCGGCTTTTATATTTGCAGATCTCTGGACTCTGTGTTCCAATCTGTGTCGGCGAATTGAGTCTCTGTTAAGAGCAAATTCATTGATATTCTGTCCTAAGCTTTTGGCAGTTTCTGCTATAACAAAAACAGCCTTGCGGTCTGACATTTTTGTTCGATCTAGAGCTGCAGCGAGTTCTGGAGTAACAACAGTTTTTCGTCCCCTCTTTCTTTTAGGTGTCTGAAAAGTGGTGCCTCCAACAGCTCTCTCATCTGCATTGTCACTAGTTTCAGTCTCTTCAACATCCTCTGCTGTACTGTTTTCAGATTCAGAACTAGATGATTTCAGTTCAGCTGTAGAAACGGCTAGCTGGTTCATTTGCTCCATTCGCTGTTGCCTGGCAAACATTTGCTCCTTTCTTTTGGAAGCCCTTTTTTCCTTAGCAGCAAGTGTTTCATCTACTCCAGCCATTGACCCCCTTCTTCCCTTTTCCCGCTGGGCTACTAAGAAATCCTTGTCTTCTTGTAAAACTGATGTATTGGTCAGGGCATCGGCGTGAGCGACATCAAAGAGATTGTCAAGTCTTAAAACAAAAGCCGACTCTCTCCCAAGTTGAGTTGTTGTTTTTCGTGATTTGTTCTTCTTAAGAAGACGCCATTCTTCAAATGTCTGCTCAAGCTTCGTTTGGCAGTTCTGATGATCTCTCATCGGGATTCTAGCTTTTTGCCAAAACTTTGTTATTTCCGTGATGGTAACAGCCGATGATTGTCTTATAGTCTCCTTTGATTTGAGATGGTGATACAAGAGAAATCCAAGCGCCATACGTAATGATGGCAGCTTGCTGCCTGTTAATTTAGTAATAGTTTCACCAAGTAGATACAACTCATTTTGAGATCTGGTCAATTTTGCCCGAAATGACATTTTCAATAATTCAGAATTGAATATTTATCTGAAATAAATATAAAAAATGCATTGGAAAAATTTGACCATTTGAAGTCAGAAATTTTAACATGTATTGTATGGTTTATTTAATTATTTTTAAAAATATATTGTATATTACATATAATTTATGTTCATTTATTTATCTCATCCTCATCATCATCATCATCATCATCATCATCATAAAAATCATCATCATCAACATCATCATCATCATCATCATCATCATCATCATCATCATCATCATCATCATCATCATCATCATCATCACATTCATCAGCATTATCAGTTTAAGGTCCATATTATAATATAGAATTAATTAATTATTAATATATTTACTATTTACAATTTTACACTCACAAGACACAAAGAGTTAAGGTATTTTAAATATATAAATATTTTAATTTACCAATTGATGAGAATCAGGTACTGGAGAGAAGAAAGTCAACACCAAAATTATAGAAATCTTCTTTAAATTTGAAAATCAAGAAAATTTATTTAAACAATATTTCAACTTAAATTGCCATTTATATTTTAATAACTAAAACAATGCCTCTATTTAGTAAACAAAATAAGCATACAGCTTTAACAGTGTTGATTAGTCAGCAACTCAGCATTGCAGTAAACAAGTCTGTCTAGCTAGTGATCCTGTCTGTCTGGGATTATGTTTTGATTTATGTAAAAATTACACAGTCAGCAAAAAATTGAATCTGGGTTATTTCCATTTGCCATGAATGCATTGGTTGGTCAATGATCAAATATGATAGTATAGACCATAATTGTGGAGTATATGATGATTTAGGACAGTGCAATTTAGCTTTGTAGTTAAAATTAAGTTCTTAATTTAACTTGAGAATTATTTTGGTATAAGTAATAATATTATGTAAAAATCAAGTGTAGCCAAACCGCAGCCGAGTCTCCGAAACTTTATTATCATTGAGCTACCCCTAAATATTGTTTAATTGTTCTCATATTTTGCCTGAATTATTTTTTCATATATAGGAACAAAATGAGAGGGTAAGAAGATCATATTTCAAAAGTTCAAAAATAAGCTCCACCCTAATATATATATATATATATATATATATATATATATATATATATATATATATATATATATATATATATATATATATATATATATATATATATATATATATAATATATATATATATATACCTATATACATATGTATATATATACTTATATACATATACATATATATTAACATAAAGATAGATAAAACAATAAAAGAACATAAATCTAAACCTTGGTTTTTTATTGTAAGTTTCTTTGTAAAAATCGTGTTGTCAATTTAAATGTATAATGTACAAATATAAAAATATATATTAGATACAAATACATGTATAATATACATAGATATATATGTTTATAAATACACAAATCTCTATGATTAATTATCGCTGATGAATACACTTTTCTTTGTACTCGAAATTACATTTAGTCTGGATGATGAGTTTTTTCTCTGTAATTGCGCAGCCATCTTTTTAATAAAAAGGCCTCTTAGAATCAGCCTCTAAAATGTAACATTTACGGCCGCATAATATAGTAGGCCTTGGATATATTTATTTATAGTAAATATGAATTTTCAATTGATCGCTGGTTTTTTAATTTCATAATATTACATTTTTTTTTTTCATAGGGTTTTAATAATTAAATAGCGATTTATTAATAATTATATATCAGTTTATTAGTAATTAGATAGCGGGTTGTTGTCAATAATATCAGTACCGGATCAAGGGGGCTAGGGTGGGCTACAGCCCCGGGCCCCGCAAATTTAGGGGCCCCCAAAAATTTTAGAGGACCTTTTTTTTTTCTTTTTTTTTATGTCATTTTTAGACTCTGGCCCATAAAAAGGTCTCCAAAAACAAAAATAGCCCCGGGCCCCAAGAAGTTTTAATCCGCCACTCTAATAAAATCGATTTCTGCTCTCAACTGAATTGGTAGCAGAAAAATATTATACCAAAAAATAAATAAAAAAAGTTTTTTATGTAAATTAATTAAATATGTAGAACTACATATCTAAAGAATTTACCATAAAATTTGCTCCATATTCATAAAGTTACAAATTATTTACAATCATTACAATCAAATCAAATTATAATTCGAGCAATTATAATAATGACTTACGATTAAACTGTATCCTAACAAATAAATACCGAGGAAAACACCAATTAAAATTAGAATTTGGTCATCCGAAAAATTCTGCCAACTAACCATTGCCAAAAAGTTCACGTCTGTTTAAAAAAAAAAAAGCTTAAAAAAATACATAGTAAATTGTTTTATATAAGTAAGAGGGAACAGCTCTGAAACTACTTTAAAATAGAAAATGACGTAAGTCGACTATTAAAATAAACTACTCCTATTAAATTAGCGTATCAATATTATCAGATAACAACAACAACAACGACAACAACAACAATGACAACAACAAAAAACATAATGCGATAGGTTTTGAAAAAAGCTACAATGAATTTGTTTTTTATAGCTATGGTTTAATTTTTTAACAATCTTTTTTTTTTCTATACACATGTACAGAGTCAAACTAACTACTTAATTTCGTATAGTGACAGTCCCAAGCTGCACAATAACATAAAATTGAATACTACATCAGCTCATAGTTAACTACAATTTGATCAAATAATCTCAACAAACCAATCTATTCAGGCAATTTTTTCTGTGAGACTACAAAAGATTTCTTAAAATTCTATTTATCTTAAGTAAAACTGACGATTGATAAACATTTTGTTTATTAGAGTTGTTAAAGTGACAATTAACAAAACAACAAGTAAAATCATTTCTAAAGTTTAACACGTTCACGCCGGCGTGTACCACCGGCGGTACACACTAGACTGTCTCATTGGGCGGCGTGTACCACCGGTGGTACACGCCGGCCAATGAGACAATCTAGTGTGTACCACCGGTGGTACACGCCGGCGTGAACGTGTTAAGTTTCTTGAACTCTTGAAATGATTTTACGTAGTAAAGAAGCCAAGTTGGCTGTTGCTACTGCTAAATTATTATAAAAACAAGCTATTGGTTGTTTCCATTTATTTACCAAGCCTCTAACCATAATTAAAAGAGCCTCATTTAAAAGTTTTCAATTTTTCATACCGTAAACCCTGTCAAAATTTCTATCATACTCTAAATGCTGCTTTAATGTCATTTCATCCATAACAAGACTGACATTACGATCAAGCGGATTCATTGCATCAGCACATAACTTTAATAAAGAAAACAATCCAGTAGAAAATCCTTCTTGAAAATCTGAAAATACACGGGACAAAAATAATAATAAACAGGTTTGACTTGGTAAACAGAATATCGTTCGTAAGTCATTAGAAGTTTGATGACTATGAAACAAAATTCGCAAAGCCAAAACTTTGTTTCCTTTATTGACTTGTTTACTCATTTCTAATTGACTTTTAAAAAAACTGACTTGTATAGGTGATAAGTATTTCCTGGATAAATTTAAAATATGCTTTATAGACCCATCAAAGTCTTTTTGGGTTTTTTGTTTGGATTTTAAATGTCAAACTTATTTACATAGTCTAGAAATTTTGACTCGCAATGTTAATAATAACCTTTGAAGTTTGTTGAAATTTATTTTGTTAGTAGACTTTTGTTCTTTAAATTGCTATCTGAATTAACAGGTAAACAAACAACTTGCTTTTACGCTGAAACTACATGACGTTCAACTAGTGGTTTCCTTTTGCAACCAAGAAGTGTAGGAGGATTTGGGATGTTAAAAATAGTAGGAATTGCTGATTGTAACAAACGTTTTCCACCATTATTTGTAGAATAATACATTGTATTTTCAAAATGATTACTGCACAAATAAAATTTTTTGTTTAAAAATACGAAATCTTTTTTGTCTAAATCTTTCCTACGACAGTTGATGACCCACTGTCTAAAAATTAAACAATAAAAGAATATGTTTTAAAATACTAAAATAATAATTTTATAAACTTTTTATGTAAACAAAAGTTATTATAAATAATATATGAACTGCTTACCTTTTTTCGTCTTTAGGAAAACGAAAAAATGAAATATCTTTACTGTTTTTTCCACTCTTATTTCCACAATTTATAGCAGTACAAAATGATGGCATTGTTGTAACTAAGATTAAAAATTTTTTAAGTACAAAAATAACTATTCGCTACTTAATATTACGAGAGGCTGCATAAGCATAATTGGCACAAGTGCAAAGCGTTGCAAAAACTGGCATAAGTGAGAACTGGCATAAGTACAAACTGGCATAAGTGCGAATTGACATAAGTGCACTCTTGCGGAAAGTGTGTAGTTTTCCTCCACACTGGTGTGTAGCTATCACTCCTAGACACGAGTGTGGAGTTATTTTTTACACTTTTGTGGAAATTAACTTTTCCTAACTCGACTTCTGCATAGAAGTGTGGAGTTATTTGCACAAAATGATGCAAAATAACTCCACACTTGTATCTAGGAGTGATAACTACACACCGGTGTGGAGGAAAACTCCATACTTTCCGCGAGTGTGTGTACCGAATAAAATTTCAAATATTGGCATAAGTGCAAATTAGTGTTTTGCTCTAATGCCAATTCGCACTTATGCCAGTTTGCACTTGTGCCAGTTTTTGTAACTGCTTTGCACTTATGTCAATTCGCACTTGTGCCAATTCGCACTTATGCCAATGTTTGTAAATTTATTTGGCGCACTTATGCCAATTCGCACTTATGTCAGTTCGCACTTGTGCCAGTTTTTGCAACTGCTTCGCACTTATGCCAGTTCGCACTTATGCCGCTTCGCACTTATGCCAATGTTTCCAAAATCTTTTGGCACACTTATGCCAATTTGCACTTATACCAGTTCGCACTTGTACCAGTTTTTGTAACTGTTTCGTTCTTATGCCAGTTCGCACTTATGCCATTCGCACTTATACCAATTCGAACTTATGAAATTCGCGCTTATTCAGTCGTCCCTTTTAAAATTCAGAGGTCCGGCAGGACATCCTAGAGTGCTTTGCGATAAAATTACAACGAGTTAGAATTCGTCCATAAAGTACGTACGCTCGGAGGGGATAAGGGGGTCTGCAAATGGCGTATATGAGATGGGTGGACAGTGAGTTAATTATAAAAGAAAGGAGACACTAAATTGAAAAAAATATCATAAAATGTTAGATAGATAGGTTAAAAGCGTAGGTACTTTTATAGAGGTGAAGGGTACTCAAAAAAGCGTATTGCTAAATGCGGGGGGAAGGAGGGAGGGGGGGGGGGAAGACGGGGGGAGGGATGACAAAAAAAGCGTTCGTAATTTATGGACGACCCCTTATGTGAAATTATGTCTGACTGGATAGACTTTGATGCACAAATACTAATATATTATTTAGGGTCGTCCCATGGAAGACCTCTTCGAGACGGCCCTGATAATATTAAAATAGAGATTTTAGAAACTCTTTAAAAACTAAAAGATTTTTAAATTGCAACTTTTAGCTCTTCAGCGTTAAAAGGTTGCCGACCCTTCTGATTGGAAGAAAATTGAATTAGCATAAAAGAAAAACAACATTCTGATACCACGATCGATATAACCAGTAAATAGCGCCAATATGGCTATAACGAACTAAATAACAATTATATGGCGACTATTTGAATAATAGTGTTGTTTTTTTGTTGAACGAAATTTTTGTATAAATAGAGTTTTGCTGTTGTTGTTTTTCAGATACAAAAATACAAAGAATATAAGTAATATAGTTAATGTAAAAACGGTTAAGATCTTAAAAATATAAGTTATAATACATATTCGGTATTATTTATGATCGCCGTTGGATCATAATTGGTAGCAGATGGTATTTTCTTCAACACGGAAGAATGGTAAAAATAAAAAAATATTGAAAAAACTCAATAAAGAAATTGAAAAACTAAACGACGAATTTGCGGAAATTACGGAACATGCAAATGAATGGAAATTGCGCAACGAAAGTTTAAAATCAAGTTTAAAACAAAAAAGGATGGAAAAAGAACTTAAAATGGAAACAAAAAAGCAATGTTATCAATGGTTAAGTACTCAAAAAAGTAATGACCAGTATAAAGATAATTGAGAAGAAAATGGCTGTAGCGAAATTGAACCAATCAAATCAACGAATACCATGCGTAAAATGGAAAATGAAATAATTGATTTGGATCAAAAGACTGCAAAAATTGGACATGACTTACGGAAACAACTAAAACGTGTCTCTATACCAATGTTTAATGGTGACAAAAAGGAACTATGAAAATTGGAAAGCTTCATTCTACGCATGTATTGATTAAGCCCCAGCGACATCTGAGCATAAATTCCTTCAGTTACGTCAATATTTATGTGGAGACGCATTAAAAGCAATTGAAGGACATGGGCATTTGTCATTCGCTTATGAAGCTGCGAAAGAAAGACTTGAAAGAAAATATGGCGGAACAAAGAGAAAAGTCCTTATGGATTTTGACGAAATGAACAACTTTAAACCTATGAGAGAAAATAATCCAAAAGACGTTGAAAAGGTTGCGGATTTGTAAGATGTGGCAGTAACAAACTTAAAAGAAGCAAATCGAACAGAAGAACTTTGCATTGGAACAATGTACCATACCAAAAAAAGGTCCTGAGATAATGTTAATTAGATACATACGATGGGTGTATGAAAACAAATTAAATGAAAATGTTGAAACTCTAAAAAAGTTTATTGTTAAAGAAGCAGATTTTCAAATTGCAGCAATGGAAACTCTTCATGGTTTAAAAAAAACTACTGGTGGCAAAGCACACGAAGGAAATTCTTACTTTGGTAACAGTGAACAAAAAAAGAATATAAATTGGAATCATAAATGTTCTGTTTGCAAAAACGATCATAAAATATGGGAGTGTTCAACGTTTCAAAATCAAAATATTAAAGAAATATAGGAAACAGCTAAGAAAAATAAACTCTGCTTCAGATGTTTAAATTCTAACCATTCGTCAAAAGAATGCAAGAACATAAGAATTTGTGGGATTGACGGCTGTACAGATACCCATAATCGTTTACTTCACAAAAAATACATCAAAATAAAACAATTTTTGAAGACTTCAAAGAAAAAGACGCGATATTAGAAAATTCTCAACATCCAATTTCATTCAAATCACGTCATGAACTACATATCTCTTAGAACGGTGCCAGTTATTCTTCGTAATGGATATAAAAAAGTTGTGGTAAACGTATTGCTTGACGATGGAAGTACCAAGATATATTTGAACTCT